GTTCACGTGGCCCGTGGTCTGCTAACCTCGCAGTCTCTGCCCAGAGGGAGCCTGGCTCTGGCAGAATGAAAATCATTCTTTGCATGTTCAACCCATTAAGTATGTCTTCGGATGTGGCCTCGAGTTTTCCAAAATGACCGTTTTGTTTTCTAGCACTGCCCGAGAAGGGAGCGCGGGTCCCAAGGCTGCAGCTGAGCTGGAGGGAAGGGGCAGGGCCACGAGGAGGCAGAGACCAGCCGCCCCACGGCTGCTTGTGAATTCAGCTGCCAGGCGTGTTTTTCCCATCACCTGGGGACCCAAGCCAATTTATGGAAAAACAGGCTGCGAAGATATGCGGGTGGGAGGAAGAGAGAGCGACAGATAACAGGAGACAGCTGCGGCCACGGTGTGCTCCAGCCAGAGGCCTGTTTTAATTAGAGCTACAGAGAGCAGGGATGGCTGCCAGGAAGGCCGCCCCAGGGTGAGGTGCCCTCCCCGCCCGCCCGGCTGGCGGCCCTGGTAATGAGGCCCCAGTGGAGGGCCCAACACACAGTGCTGCTGCCGGGACCACCCACACCACACACAGTGCCTCCTAATCACCTCACGTCTCAGCTCCCAGGGGCATCCGATGCTTGTCTCCAGGGCCCTGGCTGGGGAAGCCCGGAAGGGGCCTGAGTGAACCCAAGGGCTCCCATCTCCCTCCACCAGGCCTAGGATGCGCGGTCAGGGCCAGGCCAGATTCATGGCACATGTCAGGGCTCCAGAGCACCGTTTGGGGCTCTCTGGGCCCCTGACCAGAAAGTAACTGCCCCAGGGTCCCCAGGAAGGACATGGATCTGTCTTTAGTCAGTAGCTGACCTAGCAGAAGGCTGCACCTGCCCCGCCCCAGCCCCTCACCTGGAGCAGCTCAACTCTGCAGAGGGGCTATGAAGGGGCCGCCCAGGCACGAGGACGCCCTACTCCAGCCTCATCTGAGACATGTGCTACCTGGCCTGGAACAAAGGGCAAGGGGCCTCCCTCGCTGGCCCTAAAATCCTCTTCTGTTCACGAGGAGAGGAACAAGCTGGCCTCCCAGAGCCCTTCCTGCTGTGCCCTGAGCCCCAGAGCAGACCATTCACCTTCCTCAGACCCAGATGGAGCAGAGAATGACATCGTGGAGTGGCCTCAGGGCCACACCAGCAGCCGCTTCCTCAGACCAAGCACTGAGGCTTGGCTGTTGGTCCATGTGGAGGTCTGATCAGCATCAAAGGGCAGAGCAGCGTCAAGGGAGAGGCCCACTGACTTCGACCCCCATCCACACAGCTAAGGGGCCTCCAGAAAGATGACGGCGGTGACAGTGATGGTGATGACAGTGATGATGGTGACGGTGATGATGGTGTTGATGGTGGTGACGGTGGTGATGGTGGTGTTGATGGTGATGACGGTGACAGTGATGATGGTGGTGATGATGGTGACGGTGATGATGATGGTGGTGATGATTATAATGGTGGTGACAGTGGTGATGGTGATGACAGTGATGATGAAGATGGTAGTGATGACGGTGGTGACAGTGATGGTGACGGTGATGGTGGTGAGGTGGTGATGGTGGTGATGGTGATGGCGACAGTGATGACAGTGATGGTGACGGTGATGGTGGTGAGGTGGTGATGGTGGTGATGGTGATGGCGACAGTGATGACAGTGATGGTGATGGTGGTGGTGATGATGGTGATGGTGATAACGGTGGTGATGATACACCATGGACAGTACTGCATTCCATCCTTATAGCAACCCTTAGAGTAGGTTTTATTACTCTCATTGACACTTGAGGAAACTAAGGCCCAAAGAATGTACAACTGGCTCCCCCCCACAAAGATTATAGNTGGTGGTGGTGATGATGGTGATAGTGATGGTGATAACGGTGGTGATGATACACCATGGACAGTACTGCATTCCATCCTTATAGCAACCCTTAGAGTAGGTTTTATTACTCTCATTGACACTTGAGGAAACTAAGGCCCAAAGAATGTACAACTGGCTCCCCCCCAACAAAGATTATAGCACACTTTAAGTTCTGTGGCGTGAGTGTGTGTATGTGCATGTGTGTTGAGTGTGTGCACGTGTGTGTGCATGTGTGTGTGTGTGTTTAAGGCTGCCCCAGCCTAATACTCTGTGCTCAGGGTTCTCCTGGTCGTCTCTCTCACTCTATGACCCACTAGCCAGAGCCAGCTCCCTGCAATCTCAGGTCACCCCAGGACACCAGGGACCCGCACACCCCAGGACAAAGCCCGGATTACACACTCCCCATCCTCCTGCCCCTCCCTCCCAAGTGCACTCGGTCTGTCATCACGGGGAAGGAGGGGAGGCCTGGAGCCCATAGGCTCCCGTTGGAACCCTGGCTCTGTTATGACAACCCATGTGACCTTGAGCCAGGGACAACCATTTTATTTACAGAGGGGGAAACTGAGGCCCTGCACCATCAATACAGCCCCATGGCCATCCTAGAAGAGAAAGCACAGTAGCGGGAGGGTTACACGGCATTATCTCCTCTTAGGAAAGAGGCCTAAAGGTCACCTCCACCTTCTTTCCAGCTTATGACTCTCCGCACAAGGTGGAAAGAGCCTGAAGGGAAGAGACCTGACAAACTGATAAGAGCAAAACCACCAGCCTGACAACAGGTTACTTGCCTTAAGCCTGAATTCAGCAGGTGGTGTCACTGAGCAGAAACGTGTCCTCACCCCACACGTGGGTTCATCTGCAAAGGAATGTCCTGGTGGGGACACGGAGGGAGCAGCAGGCGGTCTCTCAGTCACCACGGGCCAGGCGCCCATGAACTTGGAAAGGACAGCGCTGTGCTCGCCAAACTGCTGCGGAGCCCAGACATTGCTGCTCAGCCCAGCTCCAAAGAGCTGGGAGAAGGAGCCCATTTGGATGCCACACGGGAGACATCCTGAGGAAGGTCGAGAGACAGTCCCCTGCCCACTCCCTCTGGAGTCTGTTTCCTGAACCGTCCGCCATGACCAGAAAAAGTAGCCCAGTGGGGTTTCGAAATGGAAAGTGAGTTTTCCTACATGCAAAACAAAAGACCTGAATCACAGACACATACAAGTGAGAGCTTTCTTTCCAAGCCAGCCTCACAAAGAGGAATTTTTAATCCAACCACGTGTTTCCTCGCTTCTTGTCCACCTGGCTCTCTGATCCTACGAGAGCCTGTGAGTCTGGAAATTTGGGGCCCAGGGCCCAGGACCCCAGCACAGACCTTCCCGGACATACACGGCCTCGATGCCCGGAGACATGGTTTCCATCAGCTCGCAGTCAGGCCAGGCTGGCCCTGAACCACAATTTTAATGAACCAGCTAGTGCCTGGGGCAGGGGAGGTGCCACAAAGGGTGCAGGGAGTTTGCCTTAAACACAACTGCCCCGAAGGCCCCTGGGAGGGAACAGCTGGCCTCCACAGGGAGGGGAGGCTCAAAGCTCAGAGAGGCCAAAAGAGAAACTGAGTCTGGCAGTTCTCAGAAAGTTATACAAGAAGGACCGGCTGACCCAGCAACTCCACTCCTAGGCGTGTGTCCGAGACACTCACGCGCCCACAGCAGCAGATTCAGGTAACCAAGAGGTGCAAACCACCCCAGTGTGCATCAGTAGACAAACAATGAACACCTGGTCCATCCATGCCGGAGTATTACTCACCCTTAAAAAAGGAAGGAAGCCCTGGCCAGGTGGCTCAGTTGATTAGAGTGTCATCCTTTGCACCAAAAGGTTGTGGGTTTGATCCCTGGACAGGGAGCACGTGGGAGGCAACTGACCGCTCTCTCTCCCTCCCTCCATCTCTAAGCATGTCCTCAAGCAAGGATTTAAAAAAAGAGGAGCCCTGGGAAGTGTTGCTCAGTGGTTAGAGCATCAGCCCAGGCACTGAAGGGTCGCGGGTTCGATTACAGGTCCAGGGCACGTACCTGGGTTGCAGGTTTGCTCTCTGGCCCTGGTTGGGGCGATTGCAGGAGGCAACCAACTGGTGTCTCTCTCTCACATCCATGTTTCTCTCCCCCTCCCTTCCACTCTCTCTAAAAATCAATGGAAAGAATATCTCCAGGTGAGGATTTAAAAAAAAGAGAAAAAAAGAACTTTTTAAATGTCATATGCCCTTCGATCCACGCCGAGGGATTTATCTTAGGTACCCAAAGGTGAGCAAACAGGGATGGTCACGTCATCAAAATGCTACTGATCCCCAAAGATGCCCAGTCCGTCAGCACCTCTAGACAAATGAAACCTACAAACCACTTCGGCGCCTTCACCCACAGAGATGCTCCCACCCAGTGAGCTCGACAAAACCTCATACAACGTGATTCCACCTGAGACAAGAGTTAGGCTGCGCACATGAAATAAACCCTTAGGACAGCCCTAAAGTGTTCCCCACGGTTATCTCTACGAGCCGGATGATGCGGGACATGTTTTGTTTTTTGTCTTACCAGGATTTTTCCAATTTTTCTAGTTATTGATATGGTCACAATCCCCAAGCACAGCCTCCCTGCCCCTTCACAGCTCAGAGGCCCCGCGTCCACTCCTGAGGCCCTTCTAGGCCATGTGACTCACTTTCGGGCACAGTCACCTTCCTCAAGACCCCGGGCAGGAGCAGCTGNCGAGGCCCTTCTAGGCCATGTGACTGTCACTTTCGGGCACAGTCACCTTCCTCAAGACCCCGGGCAGGAGCAGCTGGACAAGCATTTCAGCCCCACCTCCCCACGGGCAGTGCGCTCAGGGTAGACAAGGTGGATCCTCGCATGTGGAAGATGCTGGACAATTAGCCCACGGTGACCAGGGCAAAGGGGATGACAGGGGCCTTCCTGGGACAGGCGTGGGGGGGCTCCAGGTGCTGGCCCAGCGTTTGAGGAGGGAGGCCAGGTGCTCACAGTGCTTTATTCGGGACCTTGCCTCTGCTCTGTGACACACGTGCCCTCCAGACGGGTGTCACCGGGATTCACGGCCGTGACCAGCGGGGCCCGGGAAGGGCCGTCGGTCCTGCCCCAGCCCCTTCCTGGTTCCTACCTTCTCTCGTTGTCGTCCAGGTGAGCGAACAGCACGTTCTTGGAGATGGCTTTGGCCAGCGCCGTCATGGTCTTGTAGTCCTTGGGGATGACCTGTGGGGGAGCCACCGACAGTCAGGCTCCTGGGGGCACCTGGCCCTGACTCAGACCACAGTGTTCCACCTTCACCCTGATGTTTTCGGGTCAAGGTCAAGATCAACGGCCTGCGACGTTAGGTGTGCCGCAACATTTATAATTTAAAAAAATAAAACAGAAAAGAGCCCTGACCGGTGTGACTCAGGGTTAGAGCATCGCCTCAGGCGCTGAAGGGTCTTGGGTTCGATTCCCAGTCAAGGGCACGTACCTGGGTTGCAGGTTCGATCCCCCACCCCAGCTGGGGCGTGTGCAGGAGGCAACCCACCCATGTGTCTCTCTCACATCACTGTGTCTCTCTCCTTCCCCTTCCGCCTTCCCTTCCACTCTCTCTCTAAAAAAAAAAATCACTGGAAAAATATCCTCCAGTGAGAATTAACGTAAATAAATAAACAGAAAAGGAGGGAGGGGGAGGGG